CACTTTGATAGTTTGTTTACTAAACAATTATTTGTTCATTTAATACATTTGTTTACAGAGTTGGTTTATATATACAATAGTTCAAGATACATACAAAATTTATTTTTTTAAATAAGTAGTTTCTCTTTTTCAAAGAAAATAGTCTCAGAAACTGAATTGTGACCTTTCGTCTGTGACCTTTTGTCCACAAGCACGCATTATTTATGAGTAAAGTTGGAACAAAGGTCAATTTGGCTCTGATTCACAACAATTGTTCTCTTGTTAACATGACCTTTTTTGTCGACACGCGCTCGCCGTATCAGGCTAGAACAAACCAATGCATATCAATGTCACATGTGTCTTTTCCTCGACTGAATGTTATAACAATATTAATATTGAATACAATTGTAACGTAATGAATTGCATTTGATCCTAGTCCTAAGTTTAATTTTTGGTTGAATCAGTTGAACATCTAAGTGATCATCGATGTGTAATATTTGACACTGGACATTATTTTAGGAGCGATGCAATACAAATAATGTATTTCTATCAATCATTTACTTCAGTTAAAGACTTTTGAATGTAACAATATGGTACAAATCGATTTGATTTACTGAATTGCATATTTCTTTTTATCGAAATGAAAATATTATAAACTGCTCCCGGTTAATATAAATAAGAAGATGTGGTATGTGTGCCAAATAATCATCTCCATCCAAGTTACAAAGTATAAAACAATTATAGATTAAAAATACGGCCTCAACACGGAGCTTTGGCTCACACCGAACAGCAAGCTATAAGGGTCCCCAAAATGACTAGTGTAAAACAATTCAAAATGGAAAAACAAAGGTATAATCTATAAGTACAGTCATTTCGCTACGTTATTCTATAGCTTTTTGGTCAATTTCGAAAAAGCCAGTAAGCATCTCACTGTTTTTTAAATGAGAAGTAACGCTGGTGTTATAAAAAAAATCTGATACGAAACAGAAATATAAACCGTACACAAGATTTTATCAATCGTTGTTTGATATTTGTCTATATGATTTATTCTTGTATTAGTTCTTGCTAAAAAAAACTTGATGATAAAAAAAAATCAAGAGAGGTATCGAAATCGGTCTTTATAGGTACCTAATGGTAAATATAAACTGTCAACTAAATTCTTAAAATATTCTTTATTCTTGTTGCATTTTTTTGGAAAAAAATAATGTTTTATTTGTCAATGTAATAATTTTACCCGGTAAATCCTTATATAAGATAAAACATGGAACTTTATTCATTTTACGTCCATAGATAAAACATCATAAGCGTTGCATGGGTAATTATTTAGATAGTTTATGACAACCCGTTTCGGTTGACTGCTTAGATAATCCGTTTATTGAAATGTAAATAACTTTCACCAAGCAACTGTCATCTATATAATATTTAAAAATTTAAAGTAAATTAGATACTTAGAATATATTTTTCTTGACAAATTTTATATGGATCAGAACTATTATTTTACATTAGAAACAAAAAATGTTTAAGAAAATTTCAGAACATCTTTGGGATATATTACTTATCATTATATCTTTACAGGCGGAATGAATAAATACAGGACTACTTTATGTCAGAAAGCACGACTGCAACGTTTTAATGACTAACACATTTCCCGGTTAAGACAATTAATCTTTTCTTATATAACCAATTAAATGTTAAAAATTCTATCGGGAAAAAATGAATTGTACGTTTGCATACGTTATTTAATGAAATAGATATACAGTATTACATTAAAAGACCACAAAAGAATATCCTCCTAGCTATGCCGATTTTATTCATAAAGGGGAGTAACCCCTGATAAACACAGATAAAGTGTCGCTCGTTTTATTTAAAATATTTAAAATCTTAACACGACTGAACACGATCTTACAGCAACTAAACAGATTTTTTACCTTTGGTCTTATTTTATCTGAACGTGATCTAATCAAGTCTTATTTGAACGCTAGAAGAATCTGTCTTGTTTATCTTGACCCGACTGATCTGACTGAACACGATATATCGGAACAGAGTCTGAAAGTCTAAACCGGTCTTAACGTTTTTCCCTAGCAGTAAATCAAGGCGATTAAGACTTGATCAGACCAAAATGACCGTTTCAGACTTAAATCTTGCTACTAGTGATACCACTTATACTTTTGTCAAAATTCAAATTAACGACACAAAAACTGTATTTGTGATTTTACGTGTAATTCACAATATCCATCTTTCCCTGTTGTAGATTAAAAAAAAGAATAGATCGTAGATGTGGTTTTGGTGTCTTTCCAAAGGTTAAGCTTACCAATTTTCTTGCAGTTTTGCACATATTTCATGTAAAGGTGTCAATATAGTTGTTGTTAATGATTTTGCAAACTTTTGAATATGAAGTTGCGAAGTGTCAAAAAATATTCATAATTCCAAGAAGAGCACACAACTTTATGGCAAAAAAAATTAATATGTCGATAAAACAATTTAATAGAATTGCAGTCGTTAACCAAACTAAAAAAAAACGTTGCTTGTAATAGAATTTGATTGAAGGTTATTTGCGATTACAATGCATACTAAGTGTCTATCAAATCCGAAATTTAAATCTTGACATTATTTCACATTTTTTTAATTCAGGACTATTGATAGCTGACTAAACTGAATGAATTTTGGTTCGACAATCATCCGATGGGATAAGTGTTTTCTGCTAATTGTCGAACGTCGTGTCGTGATCTCGAGTTATAGGCATTTTTAATAGATATTTGTCAAATTAGCACATCCAATTATATCATCTATTCTTTCTTATAGAGGAATTTAGAAAGATTATTCCCTTTTGAGATTGATGTTTAACGGTGGATTGATAGTTCTTTTCGATGAATCACATTTTTCAAACAAGTTTCAACACGTAGACATATAATTATGAAGACATTGCATGAATGCCAATAAGATATTCATTCATATTCATATTATGTGATCAAAATCCGATTAAATTTCCGACACACAGTGTTTTTATTAGTCAAATATAAGTATGTAAATGAAAAGGAAAGTAGATAGGCAAATTGCAAATCATTGCTTTTAACCTAATAATTACTAAGTATATGTGTTACAAAGTTGCAAAAAATCAAAATGTACTACAGCATTACAAGTTTTAAACGGATCAATGCTCGTTATAAAGCATCAAGCAGCATGCCTTTGAATGTCAGAACAGAAAAATGACGCGTACATATATAAAATTTAAAAACGTATGGCAACGTATAACCTCATCGAATATAGAAGAGACAAAATCATTAACAACTGGTAAAGCAGCCGATAATGCGTTTAGCAATTGACTTATTTTTCCCATCTAAAGCATTTATGTACATTTATACATTTGTATATGTAGTAAAAAACAGATACCGAATAACTGACCACACAACATTTACACTGAGCTGACAATGCTGACATTGTTCCGGAATTAGAAATAAAGTTAGATATTATTTGTCAATGTGAATATATACCACTGGGTTTATACTACAAACAGCAGGAATTACGTTCCCTTCCAGAAGACTATAAGTCATATCTATATCATAGTTTTTCTTATGGATGTGGCAATTATTTATTTTCTACATTATTATGTATTCCTTGTGTAACATTGAACAGAGTTTGGTATGAACAAGTAATACGATGGATATGTTAATTTAATAGCTCTTCTCCGCAATATGATACAGAATTTCCAAATTTCCATTGGCTATTCGTTAGGTCAATGATAACTTTCAAATATCAAAGACAGTGTAATACTTTTCATTAATTCGTTTGTGCACTGGTGGATTCTTTAACATGTTAGGACATGATTTATTCATTAATTATAATTGCCTCACTGTCACTTCAGTAATATTGGAGTAGTTACGTGTCTTTTGTTTTTAATGTTAATGGTTTTTTAACCTTCAAATTCAACTGTTTTGCTATAACACCATGGTCTCAGATAAGAAGAAAGACTGAGCTCTCGCAGTATATTTTACCTCGCTACATTTTACACCAGTCTATAATTCGTGAGCGTGTACTTCAGTGGTTCTCGTTAGTAGATGTCTATCATGTTCTGTTTTATTGTTTGTTCATAAATCATGCCGTTAGTGTTTTCGTTTGATTTCTGTAATATAAGCTCATGTCGAGTTGTATTTTATCTGACATAGGTTTATATTTGGTCATTGTTCAAGGTCGCATTGTTGACTTATTGATGTTTATACACACATCATTTGGACTCTGGTTGATAGTTGTCATAACACATATCTTCTTATTTTCATATAATTCTCCTCCAAAGCAACAAATAAATAACATTTCTTTATTTACTTTAAAAAACAACAATAAACCTTCTAAAGGATCGTGTATTATTGAAATGAAATGTAATAACTCTGGCTGATAGAAAGCTTGATCGATCGTCCAATGTCCGCATCACTCTACGCAGCTATGAACAAAATTGCTATCACGGCTTTGTGGCGTGAAGTACGTTGACCCGGCCTGATTAATTTGACCCGAACATATCACCGACGCTATAAGGAATGCACAGAAGTAGTAAGTTTGCCCAGAACTAATCAAGTTACCTTCCGGTTTGCAGATGAAACAAAGAAAACACTTATTTTATCATGCAAAATCTACAAATACAAACCGATAATTCGGTTATCTGGTTGACTTCATATTGATATTGTAAAAATTTGCTGCTCACTCGACATAAAGGATCAAATTGTATCTCGCAGCTGATCTTTTATAATATCAATATGCAGACAACCTGATATTCAGTTCATTTTACATTTTTACCCATTATGAAACCTATAACCCTTTTTTATATTTTCTGTATATTTTTTTGTGAGCTATCATTTATTTCCTTTTTTTTCTGTTCTCTTGCCAATTATTTGTTGTTTTTCCTTGGGTAAGTTTTTGTATCATCCATTCGTATTTCATGCTTTTTTTATTCTTTCGAACCAGACAAAATGAAGTTACATGGGCTTGATCACATAAGTTACATTTAAATACATTGAAACTAAACACACATAGTGTGTAGCAAGTTTTTAATTGGAAAATTGTTAACACTATCATAATTCAGGTAAAATCAGATTTATCTTAAAAGGAGCCAGATCCGGTACTTTAACCGGTCTATACAAATATGTTTACAATAAAAACTAATTGAATTATTGATATCAAATTTAAGAAAAGCATAATGTTCCATATATCGTGTGATGTCAGGTCAGTTGCCATACTCTTTTAAAACAAAACGTTGTCCTTATTAATCAGTTCTTGATAAGTCTGCACGTACTGAAATAACCATCATATCCGCTGGCTGTGCCATGTCTACAACACATTTTTTTTCATAAATTATCTCGTTCATTTTATTTAATATAGTATCCCATAACATAACCAAATTTAGATAAATTAAAAACACGAAAAGGATGTGCCTACAAAATAGTAATTGTACGCCTGATATCTTTGGTGTGTTTTATCACCAGCCCAATAGTCAGGAATTTGGAGTTGACAACTTATCATTGAAATGTTCATTTTCTGTAAATTATCTGTTTATAAAGTGTAACATAATTCGAATAACAGAAATGTATTAAGGTTTTCAATCCCCCGATGGCCTTTGTCGTATTTAGAAACTCTTTTTCGTTGTTTTTTTGGTTTTAAATGCAATTCAACTTTGCGTTTGACTTTGCCTTCAAATTATTCTCATTCGGGTGCAACTGTAGAGTCTTGTGTAGACGAACCGCGCGTCTTGAGTAAAAACATGTACGCCATGTATCTTTGATGAGTTTTCACACTGATTAAAAACCATTAAATAGCAAAAATCATTTCACGAATACTTTGTAAATTAAGACATTTCTAGTTAGTGCGTTAACAAAAAAAAAACAGTAAAAGAAGGCGTTTATTTGTAAGCCCTTCCAGAAATTTGTTGCTGCTGGACGAAAAACAACCAATTATCAAGCGATCAATCCCCTAGTTGGTCCAGTATCTTCCTGTTCATATATCAGTAAGATAAAGGATAAATATTATATTTCCTATACCATATCAGTTCGGGTTCTCAACTATCCGAAGATAGGTTACTGCAACCTTTATAATCTTCCTAAATTGACAATAATCGGGAAAATCATAAATATTAACGTATACTAAGTGCACAACCTTCGCAAACAATGTATCAATGTGGAGATGACTCCCTTTGTACTTTCTACATGTCCAGTTTCTATCTGTGAAGTGCTTTGTATAAAGGAACATAGGAATCGAGCAAATGCATTCATATGGACAGCATCTTTCTTTTATCAAGGACGTACATCCATCCTTGATCATGAGCACATACTCCGTAGTTCTGATTTACATAGAATTTTCGCTGAATATCTCTGAAAAAATGTATTTATTGGAAATTTTAAACGGAATTGATGGACTAACACGAAAAAGCAATTACATGAAATACTGTATAAAAGCAGACAACGTATCAAGCATCCTGATAATGTCTTTTAAACATGAAAAAAATATGTGTATCATTTGACCTTTCCTAATGCATGATATATGTATCTTCGTTTGTTTTTGTAGTTACTATTCTTCAACTTTAGAATGTGGTTTGAGGCAGAAACTTGTTTTTATGTCTATTAGACTGAAATACCAGAAAACGACTTTCAAGACTAGCAATAAAGGTAGGTTTTATATTTTGAGACGGTCTCACTTTCTCAAGAGTAGATTTTTTATAGAATATTGCAAAAAACTAAAATTTTAGCTTAAAATGTTATAATTTTATCAATTTTCAAAAACTTACCAAATTTTTCTTTTTTCATTTATATATATTTCGTCTTTTTGAACATTCATGCAAAAGAACAAAAGCTCTGGCAAAAATATCTCTGCACTTGTTTAAATATATTTCAAGGACAAGAGATAATCCCAAATGATCAATCATTTTTATTCTGCTGTACAATCTTCATCAGTCCTGAAGCAATAAAAAGAATCATAAGATAAAAGTTTAGCTTGAATCAATAAGTAACTTAAAGGAGAGCTAAAATTTTAGCTGGTTCCTTTTCAGACCAAAAGCTAAAATTTTAGTTTCCATAAATTAAGATAAAATTTTAGCTTCCATTATGATAAAATTTTAGCTTTGCAGAAAAAATGATAATTTTTTGCATTATTGACTTAACATAATATTGCAAACAAAGATACAATTTTAGCATAAAATTATAGGTATTATAACATCGATGATGGCATTACCTCTGTTAACCTTAAGATTAATTGATTGTTGGTTGCTTTATGTTCAGTGGCAAATAGTTCATGCATTTTGAAGACAAGAACAAATTAACAGACAAAAGGTAGGTCCTGTAATAGGACTCAAAAGGGATGAAATTTGAACTATCACTGGCTGGCAAATTGGACAGGACATAGAGTAAGAAATTTGACCTTTCAAACCCCACCTGTGCACAGCTCATCAAGTAATAAATGCTGAACAATTCCTCATGGTTATTTGCATAAACAAACAAGTGACTAAATGAGTTACTAGACATCAGGTCATATTCATGTAATGACTCACTGACATTAATTCTGAACAATTCCTCATGATTTGATTGGTATGAACAAACAAGTGGCTATATGAGTAACGGGACATAAGATCATACACTCACATACAGACATTAACAGTAATAAATGCTAAACAATTCCTAATGGTTATTGGTATACACAACCAAGTGGCTATATGAAAAACTGAAGAAAGGTCATATACTGACTTGCAAACATTAACAGTCATCAATCTTTCACAATTCATCATGGTTATTGGTATAAACAACCAAATGGCTATATAAGAAACTGAAGAAAGATCATATACTGACTAACAGACATTGACAGTAATAAATGTTGAACAATTCATCATGGTTATTGGTATAAACAAACAACTGGCTATATGAATAACTGGACATAAGGTCATACACTGATTTACAGACATTAACAGTATTGAATCCTTAACAATTCTTCATGGTTATTGGTAAAAACAAACAATTGGCTTTATAAGTAACTGGACCTAAGGTCATACACTGACTCACAGACATTAACAGTAATAAATGCTGAACAATTCCTCATGGTTTTTGGTATAAACAAACAAGTTGCTATATGAGTAACTGGACATCAGGTCGTAGATTGACTCATAGACATATACAGTAATAAATGTGAAACAATTCCACATGGTTATTGGTATAAACAAACAAGTGGCTATATGAGAATATTGACATAAGGTCATACACTGACTCATAGACATTCACAGTATAAATACTGAACAATTTCTCATGGTTATTGGTAAAAACAAACAAGTGGCTCTATGAGTAACTGGACATAAGGTCATACACTGACTCACAGACATTAACAGTATAAATGCTGAACAATTCCACATGGTTATTGGTATAAACAAACAAGTGGCTATATGGGTAACTGGACATCAGGTCATACACTGACTCACAGACATTAACAGTAATAAATGTGGAACAATTCCACATGGTTATTAATAAAAACAAACAAGTAACTGAACATAAAGTCATATACTGACTCATAGAGATTAACAGTAATAAATGCTGAACAATTCCTCATGGTTAGTGTTATAAACAAACAAGTGGCTATATGAGTAACTGGACATCAGGTCATACACTGACTCACAGACGTTAACAGTAATAAATGCTAAACAATTCCTCATGGTTATTATTATAAACAACCAAGTGGCTATATGAGAAACTTAAGAAAGGTCATATACTGACTTGCAGACATTAACAGTAATAAATGCTGAACAATTCCTCATGGTTATTGGTATAAACAAACAAGTGGCTATATGATTAACTGGACATGAGGTCATACACTGACTCACAGACCTTAACAGTAATAAATGTGGAACATCTCTTCATGGTTATTGGTAAAAACAAACAAGTGGCTCTATGAGTAACTGGTCATAAGGTCATACACTGACTCACAGACATTAACAGTATAAATGCTGAACAATTCCCCATGGTTTTTGGTATAAACAAACAAGTGGCTATATAAGTAACTGGACATAAGGTCATACACTGACTCACAGACATTAACAGTAATAAATGTGGAACAATTCCACATGGTTATTAATAAAAACAAACAAGTAACTGGACATAAAGTCATATACTGACTCATAGAGATTAACAGTAATAAATGCTGAACAATTCCTCATGGTAATAGGTATTAACAAACAAGTGGCTATATGAGTAACTGGACATAAGGTCATACACTGACTCACAGACCTTAACAGTAATAAATGTGGAACATCTCTTCATGGTTATTGGTAAAAACAAACAAGTGGCTATATGAGTAACTGGACATAAGGTCATACACTGACTAACAGACATTAACAGTAATAAATGCTAAACAATTCCTCATGGTTATTGGTATAAACAACCGAATGGCTAAATGAGAAACTGAAGAAAGGTCATATACTGACTTGCAGACATTAACAGTTATCAATCCTTAACAATTCCTCATGGTTATTGGTATAAACAAACAAGTGGCTGTATGAGAATATGGACATAAGGTCATACACTGACTCATAGACATTCACAGTATAAATACTGAACAATTCCTCATGGTTATTGGTAAAAACAAACAAGTGGCTATATGGGTAACTGGACATCAGGTCATACACTGACTCACAGACATTAACAGTAATAAATGTGGAACAATTCCACATGGTTATTAATAAAAACAAACAAGTAACTGGACATAAAGTCATATACTGACTCATAGAGATTAACAGTAATAAATGCTGAACAATTCCTCATGGTTATTGTTATAAACAAACAAATGGCTATATGAGTAACTGGACATCAGGTCATACATTGACTCACAGACATTAACAGTAATAAATGCTAAACAATTCCTCATGGTTATTATTATAAACAACCAAGTGGCTATATGAGAAACTTAAGAAAGGTCATATACTGACTTGCAGACATTAAAAGTAATAAATGCTGAACAATTCCTCATGGTTATTGGTATAAACAAACAAGTGGCTCTATGAGTAACTGGACATAAGGTCATACACTGACTCACCGACATTAACAGTATAAATGCTGAACAATTCCCCATGGTTTTTGGTATAAACAAACAAGTGGCTATATAAGTAACTGGACATAAGGTCATACACTGACTCACAGACATTAACAGTAATAAATGCTGAACAATTCCTTATGGTTATTGGTATAAACAAGCATGTGGCTATATGGGTAACTGGACATCAGGTCATACACTGATTCACAGACATTAACAGTAATAAATGTGGAACAACTCCACATGGTTATTAATAAAAACAAACAAGTAACTGGACATAAAGTCATATACTGACTCATAGAGATTAACAGTAATAAATGCTGAACAATTCCTCAGGGTTATTGGTATTAACAAACAAGTGGCTATATGAGTAACTGGACATAAGGTCATACACTGACTCACAGACCTTAACAGTAATAAATGTGGAACATCTCCTCATGGTTATTGGTAAACACAAACAAGTGGCTATATGAGTAACTGGACATAAGGTCATACACTGACGAACAGACATTAACAGTAATAAATGCTAAACAATTCCTCATGGTTATTGGTATAAACAACCGAATGGCTAAATGAGAAACTGAAGAAAGGTCATATACTGACTTGCAGACATTAACAGATATCAATCCTTAACAATTCCTCATGGTTATTGGTATAAACAAACAAGTGGCTGTATGAGAATATGGACATAAGGTCATACACTGACTCATAGACCTAAACAGTATGAATGCTGAACAATTTCGCATGGTTATTGGTATAAATAAACAAACAAGTGGATATATGAGTAACTGGACACATATGCAATTCGAGATAACAAATAAGTGGAATAAGTAATCACAGGTTGGGTTTTTTTTTGTGATTCGTAATTAAGCACAACATTCGCCATTACAATTATTTTTGTTAGTCGTGATAACGGATTAGAATCGTTATCACGGATTAAACTTGAATTTCTTGAAAAATTATCACAGGTTTTTATAATGTATGACGACAGATTAAATTTGTTATCACGGATTTGTATAAGTCGTGATAGCGGTATTATAAATTCGTTTCTCAGTTTAAGTTTTCAAAGTCAAATGCTGGGAATGTAAAGCCTAGCGCTGTAGATAAAAAGTAATGCGCTGGAGATATAAAGTCCGGCGCTGTAGATCTAAAGTCGAGTGCTGGAGATTTAAAATCCAGCGCTGGAGATGTAAAATCAAGCGTTGTAGATATAAAATCCTGCGCTGTCAATCTAAAGTCCATGCAGCGATGAAGCTGCAAATTAAATTTACATCTCAAGCGCAGGACTGTATATCCACAGCGCTGAACTTTAAAAACCACAAGTTTTTATCTGTATGAGACCATTAGGGCTCCGTAGGTGTCATGTAGCATTTCCGATGTCTTGAATCTTAACCAAATAATGGAAATTCAAACTATTAACGGTCGAACAAAATATGGATTACAAAGGAGAATTAGAGGGATTCACATTGAGGTTTAATCTTGAGTGGAGTAGTTGCCAAATTTTATTCAATGTTTATCTGCCTTCAAACCCAGAATAGGACGTGCAGTTTCAGAGGAGTTAAATGTCTATAAGAAAGAAACATTTTTCAAACATATTGTGAAGGTATTCGTCCATTCCCAGAACAAGAAAAAGATCGGTTTATTGTTTTGTTGTTTATTGCGTAATGTCCAGGGACAAATATTTGAGGCATGCTCAATTCATGGAGAAAGACCTTTGTAAAATAGAGGAAATTACTGAACATCCAGTGACATTTATTTTTGGATATCTTCTCAAAATGCCAGTATCTCCTTTAAAAACACTTGGGTGGGGTCGCTATATGACATGATCTCCCTGCATATTTATCAAACTGTCTCCTGATTAATAACTGGTTTAGTTTTAGAAATAATTCTTTCATGTCTATGATAATTTTATTTTAAGATAGAAATCCAGGCCTTGCAGTCATAAAAATTTTGAGCGCGTTGATCGTACTCAGACTCAGATATGAACCTATCAAAATTAAAATAATAAAGAAACCTAACTTCAAGGAAAATTCAAAACGTCCCTTATCAAATGGCAAAACCAAAAACTCAAACACATCAAACGAATGGAAAACAACTGTCATATTCCTGACTTGTTACAGGCATTTCCTTGTGTCAAAATTGGTGGGTTAAACCTGGTTTTATAGCTAGACAAACCTCTTTTTCTCATAAAATTCCATTATATTGACAACAATGTGTGAACAAAATCAAAATATTGTGTTTTTGTTGCTTCGAGCACACTTTTGTACTCCCGAGTACTGAGTAAAGTTTTATGACCGAAAGCCAAGGAATGTACTAATTAAGTTTTGTTTTCACCTTTTCATCTATAATTCACGTGAGCTTATCAAACATGTTATCATACATGTACATTCATGTGCACGAAATATATCATTTCCATTATCTTCTTTTTTTTTTAATAGTTCTGACATTTGAGTAAATTTATTTATATTACTTTTTAAATGAAACTAATTTATTATGTAAACCCTTTTTTATACTTAAACGAATATCAAAATCAGACATGGATCCAGTGGTTAGCAAGTAGAATTGTTTTTAATATATACATGATGATCTATTATCTTACATCTAAAAACATGTACATGGAAGTTTTATTTGTTAAACCAATTTGCCTAATGAATTGCTTCCTTAGTTGCACATTTCCGTTTCATAGTATACATTATTGTCAAGTATAATATTCTAATCACATTGGCAATCGACCTTAAATTTCGTTTGTAAAGGTTTAAGCGTTCCGTGTGATGGAATACAGTAAATCGGTACGAATGCACACAACTTATTAAAAAAGTGTTGATATTTGAAAAAAATCTAAAGAAGTTTTCATATATCAATTGCCTTTTTCCTGCCCTTATCCAGCATACCAAAATTTCTGTAGATATTCTAATTTCCGAAATCAATCGCTGTCCAACTACTTTTCATAAGCTGACTATTTGAAATTTAATTTGTTATCGTACTTTCATAGTTCTAAGTGTTATCATTTATCATAAAAAAAAAGTTCAGATTTAGCAATTTAACCAGAAAAAAGACAAAATAGTTCAGCAATTCATATGTTTATAATGCAGTAATAATGTATCAATTTGATGACAGAAAAATAGACTTCATTCCAAATCAATAACTACAAAACATCTTCTTAAAGCGTTACTGCATCCGGAAAAATTTGAGATGATGACACTTTTCCTGTTTTATCAAAACCTATTACTCTTTTTATAACAAGAGAAAATATAAAATATTCATTGATCACTTCTATGTACATCAGATGTAAACATCTCATATCTTCGGGGCTGACGCCCCTCATACATGAGAAGCTTTCATCTAATACTAGGACAAGTGACATTGCCATAACAATAATAAGTCAAAATGTCATAAGTAATACAACAAGTACATTAATACATGTACATGTAGGACGTGAACAAAATTCATATGTCTATTTATAATAAAGTGCAAAATAGCAATCAATAGAACATTGTAATGTGCATATTTATGTAAATAATACGATCGAATAATAGAGGTAATAAATATATTATACATACGTGACTTCCTGATAGATTACGTGTTTTATTATCCGGTTATAATTTAGTTTACATAACTGTATGATAGTATATGTTTTCTGAAAACCAGTATTTAGGTCATTAAATCGATATTGTGCATAGTCTTTTGAAATGCTCGGTTTAGCCTTTTAACATGTTTCGTTAACCGATTTTACAGCATTGTTCAAGCTCGTTGTTTTATATGAAATGATTAGTTTATAATGTAATGAATTAAGTCAGATATGATATAATTTGCAGGTCATTAATTTTACACAAATACATATTCATATCATATGTGTACATTACCATGCATAAATTCATGCATTTGAAGGTGCCAATAAAGTTACACGTTTATTTCTTTGAAGGATATCTTACTATGCTCATAGGTGGAGATCGCGAAAATAGTAATGCACTTAGTCAATCAAAAAAGACGAAAAATGGTCACAAAAAAACCCCCCAAAAAAAACGAAATGAACCGGAGCTAGAATGTAAATTTGTTTTGTTCAAATATACACATAATTGCATTTGTCTATAGATTAAACATTGTTGATTTACTTCCCTCATTGCAATAATTGATGAATAGGAAAATGTGCATTATGTATAAAAGTATGTACACACCATAACTTGTCGTATCATGCTTTAACTGTAAGTATTAGATGTAAGTTTTTCCTATCTGAGGTGCGTTAGCCCCGAAGATATCAGACAATTATATCTGATTTACATAGAATTTTAACTAAATATTTTATCTTTTCTATTGTTCTAAAAAGTCTTAGAGCAATTAGTTTAGATAAAGCAGGAAAGGTGTAATTTTCTGAAAATTTCCAGATGCAGTAACACTTTCAGAAGATGTTTTGTAGTTATGGATTTGGAATGAAATCTTAAATGTGTCTATTTTTTGTCATCAAATTGATACCTTTATTACTGCTTTTGATTGGCTATATAATATTAAGAATGGAAATGGGTCAACACAGCAAGAAAATCTCGCACCCAGAGGCGGGCTTCAGCTGGCCCCTAAACAAACATGTGTACTAGTTCAGTGAGAATGGACGTCATACTAAACTCCAAAACATATAAATGAACTAAAATTAAAAATCATACAAGACTAACATAGGCCAGAGCCTCCTGACTTGGGACAGGCGCAAAAATGCGGCGGGGTTAAACATGTTTTGTGAGATCTCAACCCTCCCCCTATACCTCTAACCAAAGTAGAAAAAAACAAGCACACAGCAATACGCACAGTAAAACTCAGTTGAAGAGAAGTCCGAGTCCGATGTCAGAACAGATATCAAAAGAATCTAAGCAAAATGACAATGATACATAAATTAACAAAGGACTACTAGCAGTTATTGACATGCCAGCTCCAGACCTCAATTAGACTGATTGAAAGATTATGTCTTCATCATATTAAAATCAAGCACAGTCCCTCCCGTAAGGGGTTTAGTAGCATACCATCATAAAATATATGAGAAGAACATAACCCGTATCATGCCAACAACTGGTTTTAGAATAAATGTGTTTATTTCCGATGCGAAGACCCTATGAGTGAATAAATATTAATACCAAAATATGCCATCTTTAATGACCTGTCAACAGTATCGTAACTATATCCCTTATGAATAAGTCTGTTGAAAGGTTTGGTTAGCTTTTGAGGTGAATGCCGACATGTTTGTGCTTTCTAAAGAACATTACCATAAAAGATTGGATGTGAAATACCTGAACGTATAAGATGTCTTCATGTTGATTTATATTTACGAATGATGTCCTTGTACCGATGATAAAATTTAGTAAATGTTTTGACTAGTTTGTGATATCGAAAAACCTGGTGTAATCATTTTTCCGTAATACAGAAATTTCTTTCGTTAAAAATCTAATACGTTGTTACATACACAAGCGAATCGAACAAGTTGAGATATATAAACACCATAAGATGGTGACAAGGGAACGTCACCATCTAAAAATTGATAATTAACAATAGAAAATGAAAAATCATCTCTTTTATCATAAATTTTGGTATTAAGTTTCCCGTTAAAGATATAGATATCAAAATCCAGGAAAGGGCAGTGTTCATTGTTAGTATTAGCGTTATTTAATGTCAGTTCAGCAGGATCAATGCCTTAAGTGTACATACTTAAGTCGTCATTATTGAGAGTCAATATATCATCCAAATATCTAAAAGTGTTATTAATTTTTTGTATCAGATGTTGTTTCGATGGGTTTTTGTTGATTTTAGTCATAAATTGTAACTCATAACAATACAAAAACAGGTCCGCAATAAGTGGTGCCCAGTTAGTCCCCATTGGAATTCCGATAACTTGACGATATACGGAATCTCCATAGCGAACAAAAATGTTACCTAGTAAAAATTCAAGGGCAGTTATAGTATCAAAGCAGTCCAATCTACATAGTGCTTTTGTTTGTTGTTACTAAAAAATGACCTAAAAGAGTTTGAACATATATATTCGCATTCTGACTTTTTAAATGCCCATTTAATTAGGTTTGTGAATTGTTTCTTAATAAGAATATGAGGCAAAGTGGTATATAGGGTAGAAAAATCAAAACTTTGAACAGATTCAAAATCACAAATATAAGCATGTAATTTATTAGGTACTTCCAACAAATTTTTGACACCCCAAAAGTAATTTATTCTACTATTTTCAAAGGCATTATTTAAACAATTTATTACCAGGTTTTTGATTGTACCAAGTGTACTAGTAAGTAGAATAGACAGTTTAGTAGTGGAACAATGGCTTGAAGACGAAATAAATCTGTTTGTGCAGCTTCGGAAACCAGTACATAGTTGGAACTTTCATTGTATTTGATTCTGCTTGTAAAGAAGTAGCTAAAAGTTTATGTTTGTTACAGATGTCATTTTCCGAAAATGGAGTCAGTTGGAATGTTGGTGAATTCGTGATTTCCTTTTGCAGAACCTCAATGTAAAATTTACGTCAAACTATAATTATATCATTAGCAGCCTTATCAGCCGTGACAAAAACAAGTTCCTTTGCGAGTTCTTTTAGCTTATGTTTGATACGAGAAATAGGGTTATTATGGTTGTTGTTAGGAGTAAAATGTTCCTTAAAATCTTGTATACGTATATCAACTATATATGTTCATTACTGAATTAAAAAAGAATCCAAGGATTTCTTGTCAGTTTTTTCTCGTTTTATTCATTTTGAGCAGTAAGTATGGAGTGAGTCGTGAATGATGTCACGACATTCATGCAAATTAATAATTGACGGGGGACGATATTTAGGTCCTTTTCTGAAGAATAATTTCAACTCTCGGTCACGAACGATGTTAAGGCCTCTTGTTATAACATGGGAACTGGGGCCATAAAAGTATTCGGAATTACTGCAATTTCATGACGTAGGTGTATTGTCACTGATATTTACATCTTTACACGCTTGGCTATAGTTAAACACATATTTCCGGGTAGGTTTTTTGTAAACATAACAAATAAGAGGGATTTCAGTATTATCAAAATAGCCAGGAATGTGTATGAATTCCTGTACTATCTTTTTCTGGTTTGATTGCAAAAATCTGAGCTTTTTGCTGATAAATGATAACACTTTTATGCAAATAGGGTTAAATGTGCCTGTTCTAAGTCAGGAACCTCGTTAGTAATTTTCGTAAATAATTTCATGATGCTGTTTGATATTTGGTGAATTGGGGTGTTAATGGCGTATCGTTGATTGTTTGTCCTAAGGTTATTCTCTGCTGTACATGTAGTAAAGACAGACACAGTGTCTGCAGGAAGAATGCCACCCAAGGCAATGTAAGCTTCAAATAATTCCGACTGCAGATATAGGCATGATGTACACCTTTGCGAAGATAATTTGATGTAGATTTACAACATAACAAGTTTTAGTGGGACGGAAAACCGCAAAATCGAAATATAACGGAAGTTCACGACCGAATGTCATTTCTCAAATACATTAATTGTGAGTTGGGTAACCTTGTGTTATATTAAGGCATGCAGTTGAAGCCCGCCTCCGGATGCGGGATTTTCTCCCTGTGTTGAAGATCCATTTGTGGCCATGGTCTGTTTTCTGCTCTTTGGTCGGATTGTTGTCTCTTTGAAACATTCCCCGTTTTCATTCTCAAATTTAGATATTTAATTTAGAGACAAGTGTCTGTGTCACTATATATCGGCACAACAGTATTTGATGTAAAGCATGCGGTTTTTTTAATCATCATATACAGGGTTGAAAGAAAACAAAAATCAAATACACTAAAACTTTAAATTTTGGCAAACACAAAATATATATTATTAAGTGTAAAACCATTCAAACGGGAAAACCAACGGTCTAATCTATATAAAAAACGAGAAACACTTATGAACCACATCAACATACGACAACTACTGAACATCAGATTCCTACTCGAACAATAAAAACGAATTATCGCAGTACATGGTGTTCGCTACTCTGTTTCAAAATAACAAGCTTTTTAAAGTATAGTTATAAATTGATAGTATATAAAAAAGAAAATTTAAAAAAGCAGGAAAAAATGAAAGGTCCGTCTCATTGTTTTTGAGATATATAAGCCATTGAAAATTTGGCGGGAAAAGAAACTCTCTATAGTTTTCCTACATTTAACATTGGTACATTTTTTGTTTCAAAAACTTTGAAAAATAACAAGAATTTTATAAGATTTTGAAAAATAGCTTTTTAAACGATATGTAATAAAATTATGAAAAGAAAAGTAGGTGTAAGCAAAATTTGTATTGGCTTATTGTGGATGAAACTAGAGGATTTCGAATATCTGGCAAAAAGTCAAAAATGAGAGAAGCAAACATCCTTAAACTGCTGATCAGAAATCATGCCGTCCTACAACAAACAAATATATATAGCAACTTTATCATTGTTATAAACTATATAGGAAACATGAACATGAACACGAGTTATGTGTCTGTAGATATAAAAATATACAGATGTTCACCTAGGATTTTAACTTTTCCTGATATGGATCTATGATTATCAGATTAGGCATCATTATTTATGTACGCTATTTGTTTACAAATATTCAGGTCATTTTACTAGCTGATTAGTTTAATGATATGTTACGTTTTCTGAAAATGATATTTTTTAAATCGTATGTCGATGTATATATATAAAGCATTGTTCAACATGTTCAAGGTATATGAAAACACAATATTTTGCGTGCTGGACTTTGTACGGGTACAC